TGCTGTGTTCATCCAGCTCTGCACCTTGTTGCCTCGGATTCTCCAGCATCTGCAGTTCCTACTATCTCTAGGTCTAGGTTGACATGTGTTTTGTTTTGGCTGGGTTTCTTGTGTATAGAATTGTGTAGATTCAGAGTGGCTTTCAAGTCTGGTGCAGAGTGGTCAATGAGAGTGCAGACATCAGCAAGTTGCAGATCATGTAGCTCTTTGGAGATTTGTTCAATCTTGGAACATTAGTCTGGATTCACACACTCTCTCTGTATATTAATCTAGATTTATACACTCTCTCTCTGTTAATTTAGATTCACTTCTGCTTCTTGTATGTTAGTCTGGGATAATTCCACTCCATGTACATAAAAAAATTCTCTTTTATCAATTTTAGGTTTGATGAGGCACTGGGAGATTTTAAGCATGCTCTAAATAATTTACGAAGTAATTCAGTGATTGACTACACACAGTTGGGATTGAGACACAGACTGTACACCTGGGAGGTAAGGAAAATAAAGTGTTTCTGGTATCATTTACCATTTGCCCATCTTTGCTACGTTCCTATTTCAGGTGAAAATGAGGTAGCAGTAAATTTGAATGATGAGATCCTGTAACATTCTAATCAGCACAACTCCTGTAAGATCTTTTCCTCCAGAGAATTGATCAACGTTACCATGGGCTTTGGTTCCTTCATTGTTCTGTTGAAAACTGCAATTTCCTTTTTTACCTTCACAGGATCTGGGTGTTAGTGGCTAGGACAGCCTTGCCTATCCCTAATAACCATCTACAAAGGTGCTTGCTGAGTTACTGCAGTGTGTCTTGTAGGTGGTATATATTGTTGCTATGTGCCTCTGTGGTGAAGAAAGTGGATATTTAAGATGGTGGATTGGATACCAATTAAATAGGCAGCATTGTCTTGGATGGTGTTGAGCTTCTTGAATGTTGTTGGGGCTGCACTCATCCAGGCAAGTGGAGAGTATTCTATCACACTCCTGACTCATGCCCTGCTGATGATGGATTGGCTTTGGGGAGACAGGTGGTGAGTTACTCTGTGCAGAATATGCAGCCTTTGGCCTGCTCTTGTAGCTATAATATGGTTAGTCTGGTTTAGTTTCTGGCATAGAAATGCAGAAACATAGAAACTAGGAGCTGCGATAGACCCTTTGAGCCTGGTCTGCCATTCAATATGAACACAGCTGATCCTCCATCTCAATGCCATATTCCCATATTCTGCCAATATTTCTTTCTTGAATGTATCCAGTGACGACTTCCACAGACTTCAATGGTAGAAAATTCCACAAGTTTGCCACCCTTTGAGTGCAGAAATATTTCCTCACCTCAGTTCTAAATGGTCTAGACTGTATTCTGAAATTCTATTCCCTGGTTCCACACTTCTAACTAGGGAAACATCCTCTCTGCATCTACTGTGTCCTGTCTGTTAGAATATTATACATTTCTATCAAATCCCTTCTCATCCTTCTTAACTCGAGTGAATATAGTCCAGTCGACTCAATCTCTCTTCGCAGGACGGTCCTGTCATTCTTGAAAACAGGCCAGTGAATCTCTTCTGCACTCCATCTATGACAAGTATAACCTTACTTGGGTAGGGAAACCAAAAATGCATGCAGTACTGTAGACTCACCAAACCCTTGTATAATTTCAGTAAGTTGTCCTAACTTCTGAACTCAAATCCTCTTGCAATGCAAGCTGATATACCATATGCCTTAATTTCATGCCTGTATTTGCCTGTCTACTTTTATTGACTGGTATTCAAGGATACCCAGATCCCTTTTTACTTCTATACTTCCCAGTATATCCCCATTTAAATAATGCTCTTCTTTTCTCTTTTCCAGACTGAAATGTATCCAGTAGAGTTTTTTAAGCCAGTATGGAGAAGGGGGCAGTCCTAGATTTAATTTCAGCTAATGAAGCTGGGCAAGTAGGTGAAGTATCAATAGGGGAGCATTTTGCAGACATAACTCCACTAGATTCAAGGTTGTTATTGAAAACAGCAAGGGATGGTCCTGAAATCCAAGTTCTAAACTGGGGGAAGGCTGATTTTAATAAGATCAGATATGGTTCGACCACAGTGGATGAGGGTCCCCTATGCTAATAATTTCCTAGCAACATTATTTTGATTTGGTGAGTTTTTTGTTTGAGGTTTTCTTTGGTTACAGTGGCCATTTATTTCTTTGAATAATAAGTGTGCTAGTTACAGATTCATATGTATAATAGCTTTTATTGCCTGTTCAATAGCATGTAGAGCAAAACTGGATATTGGTTAAGGTTGGAGACAGAAATACGTATTGTTACATTCTGTAAATAAATCAAGCATAGAGTTAAAAGGTTAATGTCTTGACTCCTATTTCAGCATCCAGCTTTGGAGTGACTTAACATGGTAGCACAGGATCGTTGCCTAAAGTGAAGGTTGAAAACTAAGAGATAACACTGTGTGGAGCTGGAGGAACACAGCAGGCCAGTCAGCATCAGAGGAACAGGAAAGTTGACGTTTCCGGTTGGGACAAATCTTCACATGGTGTCTGCTTTTCATTCTCACTGTTGCAGCAGAAAGCAACATTGTAGACAACTCAGTGTGGTCCATAGAACATAAACTTTAAAACTGCAAACATCTCTTAAGTTTAAAGGAGTATTATTTTTATTTTTGTTCACAATCCAAAAATAAAGGAAATAAAACTTTCCTGTTCCTCTGATGCTGCCTGGCCTGCTGTGTTCCTCCAGCTCCACACTATGTTATCTCTGACTCCAGCATCTACAGTTCTTACTATCTCTAAGTGAGTTAAAAACGAAGAATTTTTTTTTGTCAGATGGAAGATTGTAATCCAAATTACTTCAGTGATGAATAACTGAAAGTAAGTGTAAACTGACACAGTGTGATTATGTGCCAATGTTCTCCACTTTGGAAACTCTCAAACAGTGTAAAATGAAGTGGATGGGGACACAGGTTAAGACCTTACGGGGGCCGGGGGAGAAAAATCAGTTGTAGGCCTTGGCACTGTTGCTTCCCCATGAAAGTCAGATCAGAAGTAAAGTAGTATGAGTTGGAATCCTGCCAGGTGGATAATGTGCTTTATTGGGTGTCTATGAGGCATGCCCAAACTTTGAAAGATACATTGTCATTCCATAGAGGAATGCATCATAGATTTTACAGGTTGTGTAAAGGATTGCAGAAATTCAATCTGGAGATTCCTTATTTAGTGTTTGCATTTTGTTTGTAGAATTGTGCTAATTTGTCACATATGGTCAGATTCCTAGTTTTATCTGGAGTTCAGAAAGACACCTTTTTGATCGAATATACGTTACTTTGATGTGTAACTGGAACATTTTGCAGTGTCAAAAAGGATGGAGGACACAATTCTTATGACATTTTGTGATTGTTTGGAAACTGAGGGCATGGAACAGTACAACAGTAGACTTACTGGCAAAAGGCTTTAGGATGAAGGCATTTTTAGTAATTCTGGCAGACATCATGATTGGAGTAGTAACGCAGTAATAGATGAATAAACCTCAGGAATGTCTAGGTGTTTCAAGTGTTACTCAATATCTGATTACGTGACTATCAGCAGAACTTTTGACGTGATACATGCCACGGAAAATTTAGAAGTTGAAGGTGATGATCATCATTCTGAGGGAATTGCACCATTCATAGGTTTTAGTTTGGTAATGAGTGTCTCAATCATGTATTCATTTAATTGTGCTGGATAGTGGTTGCACCTCAACAGTGGGAACAGATTAGTTAAATGTTTAAAAAAAAGGTTTGCTTAGTTGTAAGCGTCAGAGTAAGGTTAAGGCAAATGAAAGATCAACTTGATACCGATTAGAGGGTGACAACAGATTGAGGTCACTGAAAAATGGGGTCATTCTATGTAAAATGGCTGGAGTTAGGCACTTTATTAATACTGATGCAGTCTCTGGTGAGGTATCTCAATTTACTGGGGTAGTGCACTGGAAATCATGACCTGTTGTCATAATTGTAAAAAGATTCAGTCAAACTATCTAAACTCCCCAATTTACCTGACTGAAAACCTCAAGTTAAAAGAAAACACTCTCCATGTATCTGCACTTAAAAGAAAATTGCCATTAATTAACAATTTGTCTTTATCCAGTGGCAAATAGGAAATATAATTTGTTAACTTATAACAGCACAATTTAAACTCACTTCTTAAATTCCTCCCTTCACAATCAGACAGACAGACAAAGACAGATAGCACATGGATAATAACAGTGGAAGAATAGTTTATATCGCCATTTGGACCTCAGGATTTGATTAATTGCTTTCTTACTTCTTCCTTTGAATTCCTTTTAAATTCTTTGTTGATGAGATGAATTATTTGCACACTAATGCTGTCTTTCATTTGCTGGTGGAGAATTTACTCTTTCACCATCTTTAAACTTTTTTTATTCTTTCTTCGACCCGAATTTGCAAAGAAATGTAATTGAAAGCCAACTAGCTCTTAATTGACATTGTCTGTTACCTTCGCATGACAGAGTGAGAGAGACAGACAAATTTTTGATTGTTTCTCTCTGCGGTCAAGATAGTTCCATAGTGTACTGGCACCACATACAAACCCTTGACTCCTGATCAAGAGCCAGTCAGAATGTTGTTGTCAAACAGTTTCCCTTTAATTCAGAACCCATCAACTCCATGGTGTTTGCTTTTCATTCTCACTGTTGCAGCAGAAAGCAACATTGTACACAACTCAGTGTGGTCCATAGAACATAAATTTTAAAACTGCAAACATCTCTTAAGTTTAAAGGAGTATAATTTTTATTTTTGTTCACAGTCCAAAAATAAAGGAAATAAAAATGTACAACTTATGTATATGCAACTTAGGAAAGATGAAACGGCATTTCAAAAGTATGTTCCATCACAAGGTATGTGACACAGACACCAAGAAAACGACATATACAGCTACTCCTCCTTCCTCCCCCTTTATATAAATCTTAAGTCATCTTTTATATCTCTTAAATCCTTAACTCATTTCATCACTTTACATTTGGGTCAAGGCATCAGTGACCACATTTTTAGCAGCAATGTGAGCAATCTTCACTCAATGAATAGCAGGACAGTAGGAAGCTCAGATGAACAGATGGCACTGTAGTGTTTGTCTGCAGAACCCCAGTAGCGGCAGGACAGTTTAATAGAGTAGTTAAGAAGGCACATGTGATATTTGCCTTTATCAGCTAAGGTAGAGATTATAAGAGCAGCAAGGTTATGTTGGAGCTGTACAGAACTTGGACCATAGATGGAATAGTCGAGCAGCAGTTCTGCTCAAAATACTAATGAAAGATATCGAATTGCATTAACTTTATTGTCACATGCACTCAGATGAATACAGTGAAAGGTTTACAAGTCACCACATATGGCAACATCTTACCTACAAGTGTATGTAGGTACAGATTCTTCCATACAAGTTCTTAGGAAAAAAAAGTTAGAAAAATAAAGAAATAAAACGTCCAGCATTGCAGATTGTAGGAATAAATT